GGATACGTGTTATCAGCCAATCTCGAACTTCACAATGGGACTTGTCGCTGAGAATTTTCTCAGTAATATCGCCACGATTTGTTTCTACTGAAGTTGCTGCGAGTTGTTTCAATGCATTCATGTGCAAACTTCCGTGGCATACCTTGTGGAGGTTTTCACTTGACAGGAGTTTCCTGTAATCTTCATCATGCTTTTTCAGCTTCCGTTTCAACACCTTCTTCTTTTACGTAGACAACCAAGACGTCATGGGGTCGTGGCGTACATTACGCAAATCCTTGGTAACATTTGGTAAGGGCACTTCCTCTTGGCTTAGAAACTTGTAAAAAAGGCGCAGGCTCATTAGATATGATCTCACAGTTCCAGGCTGGTACTTCTCGACCACGTACGAGAGCCAGGGTCTCAGAAATTTCACTCCAGTCATGCCTGAAATTAACAGCAAATAAAAGCTAGGGAGGTCTTCGTGTTTATGTTGCTCCGGATTGCTTTCTTTCAGCTTCATCTTACAAGTACGAATAATACTTTGCACTTGAGATTTGTACTGCTGTGCTACCTTTACACTGCGATAGCCTCCATCCACATCAATAAGGTACTCGTAGAACTCGGCTAGTAAAGTACTGGTGGGAATGCCAAGTTCTTCCTGTCGATGTTCCTTAGCCTCTTCGGCATCAGGTTCACAATCGCTAGGCTCCCACTCCTCATCTAAAGCATCATCGTTGTCACTTTCGTCATTCATGAAAATATTTTGCAGTATTTCATCGTCACTGTCTTCTTGTTGGAAGTGTTGTCTCAAATCTTCTATTGACTTCTCTTCACTCTTAAAACAATAACCTTGACTTTCTTGCTGACCGATGAAATTCTGGATTTTTTTCTTCCAGGGTAACTCTGTTTGATAATCAAAAAATGATCCAGAGTCACAGTTTTCTCTACCTATAACTTCGACCACACCAATCAACAGATCTTTTCGTTCTTCGGGAAGAATAGAGCTATCTGATGAACATGAATCGCTCGACTCATCTGTTCCAGAACCGCCAGGGATGTAATCAATATCAGAGTCACGATCACTTTCGGTAACAACAACTGCTTCTTGATCTTCGGTTGCAGAGGGGGTTCGCTGAAAGAAATCTTGCGACCGTGAAATTTGACTATGCACCTTTTCTTCGCTATCACTAGTCTGGTTGGTAGTACCTCGCGATCTATGTCCTGTTTCCCACACTCGTCTAGTAAGATCGTCGTACTCTTTGTCACTATCCAGCTCCATGTTCTCCTCGGTCACTGTCCCCACTCGTTGACTCGCCACTTGCGGCGCTTGCACTGCTTGATTTCCTTCAATTTCGTGCTTTTCATCGTCACTGCTGTTTCCTTCACGCTTCATTTTTCTTCCTTCTTTCATCCGCTTACTTTCCTCTAATGTAACTCCCATTTTGTCAGTATCTTGGCTTTCTTCGTCACTGCTGCTTTCTTGTTGTTGCCTCCTTCTTCTCTCGTGTTTTGCCCTCTTGTTTTTCTCCTTTTCATTCTTCATGTGCAAATCTAATTGCTTTAGGGATACTCTTGGTGCTTTATTCAAGGCTTTTATGTAGCTCGGTGTATTAGGCCTTAAACCATGTATGGAAGTTTGGACATGCTTGTGTAGCTGAAATAGCGGTGTTCTGTTTCCTTTACAGGGAGAGAGCGGGCAGAACTTAACTGTCCCCTTGGGCTTTTTCTTCTCACCCGTAAAATAATCACCGAGTTTGCGCCTTAGTTTCTTCATTCCATGAACATCTTTCTGATGTCTGCTGAGGTTTAGCACACTTTTCCCGCATTTCGAACATTTTTTAGGCATCCGTTTGCGCGTTCTCGAAGGCTGGTCCTGAGCTGAGGTGTTGTCGCCTTTTTGCACCACATCCGATGTATTGGAAGCGTCATGGTCCATGCTATGAGTTAAAAAACAGTGACAATAGTGCCAAGATTAAGAAATGAGGTAATAAAAGATCCGAGCAGGTTTTTTTTTAACAAAATGCACAATACAATGAGAAACCAATGTCATCATCTGGTGTTTTAATCACTTTCACAGTGTAACTTAAATTAAAGCACTTGAAGGGGCTACTATTTATCAGTATGTAGATAAAGTATTTAACTAGATATGTCTGCAAAACTGTAAATAAATTGCATCAACTATACAAAATGATAACACTCTAAACTGGTGTAATGCCGTAGGCTTCTGGGCTAACTTTTAAAACTAAAAATGTTAGAATACTTAATGGCATAGATTTTATTTTGTGGATAGATACAAACTGTACCTGGAACATTTTAAGTATACGGACACTCAGAGAAAGAGAGCCTTTTTCAAAAGATTTCGAAATGCATTAATATTAGCTTCCATGCACGCGTGCACAATAATGTTTACAAAATTCTCACGCAAATGGTGATGCTGATTTCGCTCGAAATTTACTGACAATAAAATCGCTACTCAGTCTAAGGTTGAAAAACCCGCGTTAGATATTTTCGTTTAAAACACGTCTTTAAATAACTAAAACACAGTGCATAACAATTCAAAAGAGAATTTGTAAAATTAGCTTGAGTGTAGAGGAGATGGTTGCTCTTAATTATGCAAAGAATAGCACACGTACGCTTATTTCAGGTTTTTTAATGAGACTGTTAGTTAATAGCCCAGCCTTGTGGCGTTTAAATCACTTTCTTTCGCAATAAACGGCAATTATCAGTTTAAAGCGCGTCCACTGTAACGATAGTCACCTGTAAATCAAACGGGTGACTTAGAGTAAACCTATACCTAGGAACGATATT